CCTGAAGTTAAATGCCATTTCAATTTGTAGAAAAAAGCATAAAACATGATTTAAGAAAAAGGTTGAAGAAGTAAAGCTACAGTCAGTAAGCTAAATTAAGCTATTTTTATTTGCTTTAACTGTAGTTCTCGTTCCATACATGTACTGGATGTCATCTGACAGTGTTTTCTCTTTAAAAAGAAAAGCAAAAATTATGATACAACACTTATACATGTAAAAGCTCAGCTATAAAAGTCAGGAAAAAAGTCCCTAATTCAGTCACGTTACATTTTATTAAAGCATGAAATCCTACATATACACAAGGATAGAATTACTTTATTCCAGTTCCATTCAGTATTTGAAATCAGATTTATAGTTCACATTTTAAATGAGTTTAAGCAGAAATACTACTTTTCTGAATTTATGACTTTTTTTTTAACATCCTTCAATAGCATAAAATAGAAAAGGTAGGAATAAGCAGTAGCATATTCACTTTAAATGAAAAAGAAATGTATAAATAAAATAAAACTGATAGCTTCCTTGTGTAGTCAAAACTGGTTTGTACCAGCAGTGACTTAATAAGTCAAGAGTTTGTAAGCTGTTTTTTATACAGGACTCCAGGGGATTTAAGGTGTATGGGGGCAAGTTATCTATTTTTAGATACTAATGTGTCTTGTTTTCTGGTACTGCTAGTAAAGCTAATTGCATCAGGAAGTCACTTTAAAGGCAGTGCCCACTGGGGAAGATGAGAATTACCAGAACGGATTCAGTGAGATATTGTAGATACACACGTTGTAGCAACAGTTTTCAAATCTTTCTGGATTATGAGGAAAATTTCCTGGAAGTTCCACGCTTTATGGGTTGTTAGTAGTGAGTTAATGGACTAAGTCAGAATACCTTATCTACATACAAAATAGTTACTAAAAAAATCTGTAATTGAATAATATATCTTTTTATAACCACCTTTAAAATTATAGTAAAAAGGATAATTAATAGGAAAAATATTGCTCACTTAATATCCCATCTTTAGGAGAATTAATTTCGTTAGGCTAAGATTCAGAAATAGAGATGATTGGAAGGATGAAAGTCTGTGAGTACCTATTCTTTCCTTTCCTTACTTATACCCTTACCCCCGAAGCAAACAAAAACACCCTACCATATTATTGCAGGAAACTAGTAATGTCTTACAGTCTACTTTATCCTAATAGATGATCATTGCTCAGTGTTCCTGAAGAAGTTAAAAGAAAATGTTATGTGGAAAATGTTCGTGTTAACAAGACTTGTCTTATTTAAGCATTTAATCCCATTTATATCTCAAGACAACTGGTATCCAAGTAACTGTCCAGTTTTTCTTGAATTCCAGTAAGGCAAACTCAGCCATTACCTATAAGAATGGAAAATCTGAAGCTTGGTTACCCTTGAGAAAAAATGTCCCTGTTCTATTTAATTTAAACTCATTATTTAATATGTATTTGCAAGCGTAGTCATGTGTTTCTGCTACATTCTTAAAATGTAGCTTCTTTGCTAAGGTTTGTTTGATCTCCTTTTGGGAACGTATAGGTTGAAATGTACCCCCGTCATATACGCTGTAGGTTCCTTTGCCAAACTTGGCAATTCAACAGAAGTTCTCAAACCTCTTCATATCAGACCATATCAGATCTCCAGCTCTCCTCTGTGGACACTTCCATGAATTTATCACTGTATATACTTTCATTGTTTTTGTGTGTCATTTGGAATAGAAGGATTCTTTTTCCCTCTGACAACTTATAACTATTTTTTCTCTTAGAAGTTGCTTTAAGGGCTGTCCCAATTTATTTTTGTTGATTGCTAGGAATTATGAATGACCCATTAATTGAATATTACTCTGTAGACCTGCTGAGTCTGACACCAGATGCCATATTTATATAGATCCTATGTCCCTGGTCAAGAATCATTCCCTAAGAGTATGGCAGAGGGGACAGGCTTCAGAAGTGCTTAACACTTAGATTGAAAGAATAAACGGATTTGCCCAAATGTAGGAGTCATTTACTGATGCTTACAAAGAAATCAAAATGAATTCCCTTCCATGTTGTATTACAACCAGAGATCCTTTGAGCATGTGCTTTATTCTTCTTCCATGACCATTAAAGGAAGGGTAGGTGGGTTGTAGTTAAAAGTATATGGGAAAACCCAGCAGGGAAAGCTAGGCCAGAGCATGCTTAAATCTGCATATTTAAATCAGCTGTCAAAAAGGCCACAGTTAATAAAATCATCTTAGTAAAATCAGAAGGGTTATTCTTGGATGGCTATTTTAAATTCACTGCTGCATCTCTGAGTTAGCCTTTGGAAGCTGATAGGATTTTCTGTTGGGGAGGGTAAGGAGAATACTGATTTTACCTCTTCAGATTGTTTACGGGAGGCAGCAAGTAAAGCTGACGTGCCAGTCTCAAACAAGAAGTTCTGTTATGATACTCTGAAATACAGAAGGCCATGTGCTACAAGATGTTCCCTCTTTGTTTTTGTTTACAAAATAAAGGTTGGGGTGCTATGGTTACATCAGTAAGTAGCCTGGCGCACAGTCTCAGTGCATCTCACTTCACGATATTCTGTGTTTTGCAGCAGCTTTTATTTTGGTTTTCTCGATTAATGTAGACATTTCACATCTTGTAAATCGCTTGTGGTGTATGGTATATTTCATGAAAGAAAATTGGTAGAGCACATTTCTAAGGTGACATTTGGCAAGGTGTGAGTTGCATAATGGTTAGTATTTAGAGAAGATGGGGTATTTTTCCTTATTTTTCTTTAGTTGTAAGATCTAATTATAGGTGAATATAATTCAGGTTGCTGCTGGTTTTTTGGTCTACTTGTAATTTTAAAAAGGTATTAAAGATGCCAGGATCCAGGGCTAGGAGCATTTTCCATGTGTAAATAAATAATGAAGATGAATACATGCAAAATACTTTTTTTGGGAGGGTAGGAGTGAGGGAATTGAATATACCCACAAGGGAAAGGAAAAACGTGAAAAGATAATGCTGAAAATGAGGATGGGGTGATAGCTGACAGCAAATTAGACATGAATTTGCAATGTGATATGGCTGCAGAAATGATCATTTGAATTTGCTGCTACGTGTGCAAAGACATCTCACAAAAGAGAGGCAATACATAAAATGTACTGTATTGCAAAGACCTGAATTTACAGGGAGGTGATACTGAATAATTCTCATGTAACTGTTATGACGGTAATGTGAGGGGTGTGCTAGATGTATATTGGAAAAGGGCAACAAAAATGATTAGGGGTATGGAACGGCTTCCGTATGAGGAGAGATTAAGAGGACTGAGACTTTTCAGCTTGGAAAAGAGACGATTAAAGGGGAATATGATAGAGGTCTATAAAATCATGACTGATGTGGAGAAAGTAAAAAAGGAAGTGTTATTTACTCCTCATCACAAGGACTAGGGGGTCACTAAATTAATAGGCAGCAGATTTAAAACAAACAAAAGGAAGTATTTCTTCACACAATGCACAGTCAACCTGTGGAACTCTTTGCCAGAGGATTTATAAAGGCCAAGACTATAACAGGGTTCAAAAAAGAACTAGATATGTTCCTTCAGGATAGGTTTACCAATGGCTATTAGTCAGGATGGGCAGGGATGGTGTCCCTACTTCTGTTTGCCAGAAGCTGGGGATGGGCGAAAGGGGTGGATCACTTGATTACCTGTTCTGTTCATTTCCTGTGGGGCATTTGGCATTGGCCACTGTCGGAAGACAGGATACTGGACTGGATGGACCTTTGGTCTGACCCAGTATGGCCATTCTTATGTTTTGTGAAATGGGGTTCCCCAAACTGCAGATGTAGTTCTGTTGGCACTGTTGTTCACTGCTGTGCACAAACACCATTGTACTGTGGGTGAGGAGTTCTTCTGTGTCATAATCTGGATTTAAATGCTCATAAATTTTGTTAAAACATAATACTTCTGTTTGTTACTAGGAGCTAGGTAACTGGCCAGGCTGGAGAATATTAAGGGTGCTGTAATTTAGTGAAAAGCGGTGTGAAATGGCCTTTAGTGATCAGACAGTTGGTAGAAGGGAAGCCTGCTAAGAAACTTTTTATAACCTTTACTGAAATTTGCCATAGTAATTAAGCATGTTCATACTTCTATTTACAGTATGCGTGTTCCTTTCCCTTACTCTCTTGTCATTAGATTGTGAGCTCCTTGAGCTATTGACCTTGTCTTTTCTGTTTGGACAGCTCCAAACTCTTTGAGTGATACAGCGTAGCGCACTTTCAGTCTCTAAACATGTTTTGTTTGGCAGTGTTCTCAAGATCCGCTTTAATTTCTAACACTTCTTGTTTTGTAAGATCAGCAGTCCTTGGCAGTGATCTTGGAGCTTCTGAGAGTTGCTTTATAAATACTAAGAAACATAAGAGAATGTATATCAGCACATAAAATGCAAGCAACAGACCTTGTATAAGGCTGTTGGCTGCACATAAGAGCACTGTCCACAAGGTCTGCTAGATGATAGAAATTTGCTGTCTAAGTGGTTTATTTAGAACACTTAAATACTTTATATCACATATTGAGACTACATTAATGAACTATTAAGATTCAGATTTATTCACACAAGTAAGAAAATAGTTTTTCCATAATAACCTTATCTTTTGCTATTCTACATATCTGTTACATGCAGTGTGTGATTACATTATGAGTATTTAGCACGTGCCTGTCCCTTATGTAAGAAGACAAGTGAGTTTTATGGAGTAAAGTCAGATTTAGCTGTAATGACAGTAGTAGTATATTATTAGAATATACTTGCATAGGGCACAGGACATACTTTAAACTGTGCTGTTTTTTTCCCTTTTTCTTTTTTAAATTGAAAACTGAAAAATAGTCGTCTTTGTCTTACTAACCTTTGAGATTTAGAATGCCTGGTCACCTCAGATTGTTCAGTTTACCTGTTTTCATATTTGTGAACTCAGTTACATGTTGTGTTTATCTTGCTGTCTCACAGTAGTAATACTTTTCTGCCATGTTTCTTTTAGATGTGAATGAGTTGAAAGAGTGCCTGTATGTGCTGGTGAAGGAACAGCAAGTTCTAGCCACACAAACTGCCACGACAACTCTTTCGGCTCTGCGGCTGAAGCAGAGGCTAGTTGTTCTGGAACGATATTTCATTGCATTGAACAGAACTGTTCTTCAGGAGAATGTCAAGGTTAAGTGGAAAAGCAGTAGTATTCCTCTGCCTGCTGCGGACAAGAAAAGGTAATGAGATCAGGACAGGCAGGTTGCTCTCTTGCTGGATCAATTTAAAACAGATGTCATCTGTTTGTGACTTCACTAATGTGGGAGACCTTAGCACTGGTTTTTTTCCCCTTCTTGACTTAATACATACAATACCTCTGGTGCTTGTATCTCTGAAGCAGTGGCTTTGGTCCTTGGTTGACACTTAAATATTGCCCCGTGCTTGCATTACACCATGTTCCTATAGCAGAAACTTCCTCTAAGCTGTAATACTATTTTCACCAAGATGTTTCTTGTGTGTCATTCTAGCTAGCTGTGGTCAGGCCTGTTTCAGAATTTACGTCAAGGGAGATCATATGACTGTAATGACATTAGTAGCTGTGTTGTTAGAATATACTTACATGCACAGGGCTGAAAAATAGTTTTCCTTGTCATGTGTTATCTTGACACGGGCAAAAAATGTTAAAAGGGAGTTGCTGCAGAGATGGCAAAGAAAACAATAACTGAACAAGAAATAGTGGGTAGATATAAATGTACATGAATTCCTAATATGCTTCTCCATTTGTAAGTTTTTGTACTTACAATGCAGTTACTTTCCTGCTGTAAATAAACTTGCTAATTCTAGTTCACAGGCCAGGTGTCAGTGGAGGGAAGGGGGGCATGTTGTATTTGATCAAGAGTGTGAGGCAATTCAAATTGAAATTCCTTTGTTAGTGCTGAAAGCCTTTATTTATCTGATTAATTTCTATACTCCTCCGCAGGAATGTATTTAAAGGAAAGAGTACTTATGAGTGATCTAGCAATGATGATGTGCCAATGTCTGGCTGTTTCTATTCCTTGAAGAAATCTTTTGGCCTCAGACATGACTTAAATAGACCAACACTTTTTAAAAAATCACACTGTTGAAATTTCAGTATAAAAAATTTAACCATTTTATTGGGGCAGCAAACCAAAGCAGTCAAATCCCTGATGTGCAACCAAAAGGAAGGACAAGATTGTCATTCTTTCTAAGAGAAACAGTGGGGCGGTGGGAGGTTGCTCATTCTGCAAGTAAAAGGTGAAACTTCTTTATTTTAATGTGATTTCACAAATAAAAATAAAAAGGTTAGCAGAAATGTGTTCACATTTAGTGAACGCTATTAAGAAAAATTAAATGTGTGCCACCTCCTTCTGTAACCATTACTGAACTCGCAAATAAAAGCATTGTTAATATGACCCTCATCACAAAAGTTAATTGGAAAAGAGATAACAACAAAACTGTTAGAGCTTAGCATCAATAATTGGAGGGAGAGAATCCTTATGAGATTGTTGGGTACAGATTAACCAAGGTGTATCAGAGCCAGGTTGAATACAGTGCTGGACAGACGATATCCCAGATGCAACATCATAGCTGCAGCCCTTAACATGACTGCAAGAAGACCATTCAAAAGCATGTGCTGTTGTAGAAAGTTTATTTTAATAGCTGTCTTTCAGTGGCATTCTTAAAGTGTGAACAGTCATGTCAAAATATGTACGAATCCGGTTATTAAAAGTGTAAGACAAAAGTTACAGCTGGGTTTGCAAGAAAACGAAAACGGTTCGGAAAATAGATTGAAGCAGACAGACTATAAATACAACACCATACCCTTAGCAGAAATATATGATTGTGTGCATAGAATTACAAAATCACTAAAGGGATATTTAACACATTAAAATATTTTAATCTGTAATTCTTTAGGGATTTAAAAATGAACATATACAATTTTTACTTAATTTTCATTGTTTATGCTGTTACCTTTATTGAATTCACTGGGATGATAACCCTAGTCACTTTCATTTATTGTATCAATTTCAACTTGTAGTTCTCTTGCACAAGTACAGTAGTGTTGAGCTTCTGTTTTTTTATAAAAAGAACAAAAGCACTTCAATATTTTTATTCATAGAGGCTTTTGAAAATCACCTTGATAATAAGAGCCCGCATTTGGGGCCTAAGCTAAAATTTTTTGAAAGATGTTTTGTCATAGAACATACCAGCTCTCAGAAAATCTTCAGGACAATGACAGTTTCACATGACTAGAGTCTTCTCACTAATTGGTTAACACTAACTCTACGTTGGTCACAAAACTGAACAAGTACAACTTTTTTAGCCTCAGTTTTCTGTAAGGAGGCCTAAAACTAGAGCTTTCTTATCAACAAGAGTGGTAAGATTTAGGAACAGGTAACACACATGATATCAGTCTAGCTTCTGACTTATTTTAAACCAAGGTTCTTGGTGGATGGGGTTGATCTTTTTTGGACAATGGAAACGAATCTTGGCTGTTAACATTTAAAGAGCATTAACTTTCTCTCTCCAAGAAAGGATTTTGAATTTTTAAATTTTCTTGTCTTAGTCCCAGACCTATAGGCAAAGGTGTAGAAGGACTTGCACGAGTGGGATCCAGAGCAGCACTTTCATTTGCATTTGCATTCCTTCGCAGAGCTTGGAGGTCAGGTAAAGTCCATTTAGCAATCTTATGTTTACCTTATTTTGTATAATTACATGCACAAACTAGGTTTAAAAGAACATTCTTAAGGTCACAAAGCTGAGCCAGAGAAAGATTGAGGTAAAAAGTCCATTAATGTTGGGTGCCCAATTTGAGACATCTAGGACCTGATTTTTCAGAGTAATTAGCATTATGCAGCACTTCATATGTGCAAGGGATAGATCCCATTTAATTCAGTTGCGATTATGAGTACGCGGCACTTCTGCAAATCAGGCTCCAGGGTCTCGAGTCAGCACTCAGAAAATGAAGAACACCCAATTAATAACTATGGTTTAAGTGTCTTGTCCAGCGTACCATAGAGTTCTGTGGCAGAGGAAGAGATAGAATCCAGTTCTCCAGGGCAGCATTCAACTGCCTTAATAATAAACCATTATTTTTCTTCTTGCAGTCCCTTGCCTTATTCACTACACATTTTCTAATCTCTGCAACAAATGAAGCAGAGGTCCTACAGACAATAGCCTCTTTCACTACACAACCCTGATTAATCTCCAGAGCAGGTCCCTTTTGTGCACTGAATGAGGTTGAGTTTCTATGGAAAAAACAGCATGTGATCATGTAAATAAAGACCCTACCAAAAGGCATAGGGACAAGGAGGCTGAATTAAGGTTGCACAGTCACCTTAATTCTGACATTTCTTTTGCAATCTTAAGTATGTTTCTAATATATTTTTGTGTAATGTTCTAGGATTTTAAAGAAGGCAAACTGAAAAAAATGCCATCATGTGGCATTATATTGACACACACATGGTTTGTCATCATCAGGATTGCAAATTTTAGGTTCACCTCACAGACCTCTGCCCCTTGAGCTCATAGGGTAACTGATAGAGGATGACAGCCTAATACTGCTATGTAGACCAGCACTAGAGGATGACACTTTTCCCTTGAGTTTCATAGATGTTTGCTGATAGCCAAGAAATTATGAGACTCGGGAATTTTGGGTTCTATTCCAAGCTTTGGAGGAGAGTGTTCTCTAGTGAGCACACTCTTCTGCCCCACCCCAGCTCCTTCTCCCAATTTGTACACCTCTGGTTTCTCAAATCAGTGCCAGTATCCTTCCATACCCAATCCTAGTCTCCTCCCCCTGTTCCCAGTCTCCTCCCTTTCTAGGCTCCTTGTCTGATCTCACTGCACTCCATATACTTCTCCCAGCCTCTCTTCCCACCAGTCTTAGTTCTCCCGTCTCCAAGCTCCTTGTCAGTTCTGTCTCCCTTTCAACCACCCCATTAGTTTCCTGTCCCAGCCTCCCACTCCTTGCTCCTCATCCAGTCTGTTTTCCCACCCACCATGTTCCTAATAGCAGTTCCCTCCCATCCCAGTACCAGTTTTTCTCTAGCCCTCTGCCAATCTTCAAGCCTCCCCCAAGCTCCTTGTTCCAATTTATCCCTGTTCCTCCAATGTCTGGCCCTTGTACCTTCTGCATTTCAATCAGGCAGCTGCCTCCTTCACCTTGCCTGGGCAAAGCAGTGGGACATTTAGAACACAGAAGGAAGAGTCTCTCTTTTGGTTCCATTACTTGGTCCATATTTGGCACAGCCTAAGGCTATGGCTACACTGACGCTTTACAGTGCTGCAACTTTCTCGCTCAGGTGTGTGAAAAAACACCTCCTTGAGTGCAGCAAGTTACAGCGCTGTAAAGCGCCAGTGTAAACAGTGCCCCAGCTCTGGGAGCCACGCTCCCAGCACTGTAAGCTAATCCCCTTAGGGAGGTGGCATACCTGCAGTGCTGGGACACCTCTCTCCCAGCGCTGGTACTGCGACCAACTCACACTTCAAAGCACTGCCACGGGAGCGCTCCCGCGGCAGCGCTTTGGAGTTTCGAGTGTAGCCATGCCCTAGAGCAGCAATCACAGAAAGTAGGGACTTGCAACTTTAATGGGTGGCTACCAGCACTATATCTAATATATTAAGCCCCGGATTGCAAAACTCAGGTGATTTGGGTGAGGGGGGAAGTGGGGAAGTGCAGGCAAGTTTAAAAAAGCTAGCATTTATTCTTAAAGGAAAAAATTGCAAAGAAATATGAATGTGAAACTTAGTGCCCTACCAGGGAGTAAAAATATCTCTGGCTGACAGGAGTCTCCGTTGGGAACAGTCTTGTAGAACTTTACTTGCCCTATAACTTAAAGTAACCTGATAGGATATAATTGTCAATTTTCACAAATATAAACTCAGATAAATAAAATATTGTACTAGCAACATTAGTGTGTGGTTAAGGTAAAACAAAATTGTATCTCTTTGTACACATCAGTTCCGAGTTTGAATTAAGCCATATCTTTAGGGGAAGACTGTCAAAAGCACAAACGTCAGTCTTAACTCCTGTTGACTTTCAATGTGAGTTACACATGTTATAACTATTTGTATTTCTGACAGTCCTTCCCCCTTACGTAAAAAAATGTTTGCTCCCTATTAGCATTTAAGAAGCAAAACTATGTGAGGGTGAATTGCGTTCTTTTCTGGTTTGTACATCCCACAGAATTGTTAAATTAATGGGAGACTGTTTGCTTTGAGGTGCACAATGATGTACACTTCAGTTACCTATAATACACCTCAGGTCTTATTTACTGGTGGTGAGATATGGGTCTGGAAAGAAAAATTTTGACTTTCAGATCCTAGGGTGAGTTTAATTGACAATTTGGTGGGCAGGAAGAAGGCTTCTTGGGAAGCAGCAGATTTGAATTGGAAACCACTGAGTTGATGTACACTGACTGGTGCCACTTTTCAGAGTAGAACTCCACTGTAAGATTGAAAAGGAGTTTGTTCAAAAACACAACAAAATCCCACAATTTGAAGTAGTCATAACTTTGACAAAAGTATTTCTTTTGTCTTATGTTCTCTCTGCTGTTCCTTAAAATAAAGCATTGAAGCAACTTTATTTTGTCGTTTTGTTCCATAAAGGGACACAATGGTTGGATTAATTGCATTATTTTTTGGGGGGAAAAACGTAATTTGATCAAGGTCGGTGACCAGTAATATATTGAGCAGGCATAGATAATCTTTTTTATAAAGCCCGAAGCTTTGGGGAGAATGGCCTGTCCTTGAACACCAATCAAATACTGTTTGTCATATTCCATTACTCTACTGATTTTGATTCTGATGATTCTAACTTCCGAACCTTTTGCAGCTGTTCATGTAAATGATGAAGTAACAGATTTCTTGGTTATTTTAAATGGATCAGAATAAATATTGATGACTGAGTTTTTTCTGAGTGTAGAAGCTTCATTGAGTGTAAGAGTTAGAAAAACTAGACGTATGATGGAAGAGTGAAGAAGTAGGTTGGTTACATCTGGTGGAAGGGACTGCAGGGAAGATGGAACAGTCTACAAATAGGCAGAAGATGTTATAAAACCAGCTAGACTCAGTGAGTCTTATTAGTCAGTGACATTGTTTCTTAAGGACTAAAACCTGAAAGACAGGATGAAAAGCACCGGAGCCATTCTCCCCTCCCAAGTCATATCTGTTTCATGTGTGTTGCTATATCAACACCCCCTTCAATAAATTAGTTCTGACACTTTCCCCACATGCAGTTGCCCCAGTTAATAATACAGGGTTTTATCCCCGGAAATTTAATTTTGGGCTCTCCTTCCCTAGCTCCTTCCGGTTATTGATTTCAGTGCTCTAGTTAGTATGTTATGGGCTTTATTCACCCCAGAAGAAAAAACAAAACCCCTCCATCTGACAAATACAAGCCCCTTTAAGGGCTGTCATCCTCTCTGATTAACAGGAAGAGTAACCGCTTTCATCCCTCCTTTCCTTCAAAAAGGGGTAGTGATGTCCTTCTGCTCTGCTTTCTGTTTCTCTGCCCACCTCCAGAGAGGGAGCTAGTAGCTCTGAACCTATATGCAGCCCTCTAGCCTGGACATAAGCTTTACTCAGCTTGATTAAATGTGGTTCTGAATTACTTTAAAAGTAACTGTTTTTAGGGTGCAGGTGATGAATGAAAGTTAAATACTAAAACTTTGTGTCTAGAATAAAAATAATGGGACAAGCTGTCAGGGAAACTGAGGAGACTCCTATTGATGCCTATGATTTAGGAATAATTAGTCCTACTGTGTTGTGGGGTGCTTTGATGGTTAGCTATACAACTCCTTAAAATTCCAGTCAAAATTATTCTATGAAAATTAATCCATAATATATCTACTTTATACACTTACCAGTTTTGGCGGTTTTGTAATTGCTTTTTCTAAAGTTCACACTCAGAATGATTTTGAGAAAATACTGATGTACTCTTAGTTAGCTATCTAGTACATACTGTAAGGTAACTGATATGTTATCTTGGCTGGTAGGTGAGGATGCAGACCTTTGCAGTGAATTGTTACAAGAATCTCTTGATGCACTACGAGCACTACCGGAAGCATCCCTTTTTGATGAAGGGACTGTATCATCTGTATGGTTGGAAGTTGTGGAGAGAGCTACTAAATTCCTAAGGTCTGTTGTGACTGGGTAAGTGGTTTTTTTGGTTTGTTTGTTTGAACTGGCATTGAAAGGAGAGTCTGAATTTTTAACAACTGATGGCGAAGCAAAAATAGTTTCTGGTAAATTGAGCGCTACATAGTGTAGTTTCCTTTTCTGATACCCTGGCATCAAGCAAGTCGTAGACAGACAGTCATGGTGTGTGTGTGTGTGTGTGTGTGTGTGTGTTACACACACACACACTCCTACCCGATATAACGCTCG